TCCGCCTCCTATAAGATTAGTAGGAGAGAAGGCCTCGGGGAGCAGTCGAATAGATTGTTTAGCTGTCGAACTCTCTGCCTCGGCAGAGAGGAACTTGGACGAGGCTTTGCCGCAGGGCAAAGTTTCGTCCGGGGAGGTAGACAGTCCCTGAACCCGTTTAGGTGGGTTCAAAGGGAATATTTTTGGCCGATCATACTTGCTCGGAGAAACCCACGTTAAACTCGGTCTTCTACCACATACATTCCTTGTGGTGGTGGGGGGACTGTTAAATATAGCAGTCGAATAGATTGAACGCTGGGTCAACCGACACAGACTAACTAGTCGTGTAATAGTCTTCTGTTGCACTTACTGTTCAAATATGATATATCTGCAGGTCATAAGCGATCATGATCTATCAACAAATTTCATTTCTTTATTATCAGTACATTGCCATGATTTCTTAGGAAAGATACGGGAGTGGTTTTCCGTTGTCTGAATCACGATTTTGAATTCAAAATTGTCCTTCTCTGCTATCCAAAGCAAGATAGTTCAGTCTACACTGCTATTTAATCCATACTGGAGAGAGAAGAGAAAAGGATGGATATTTGCTTTTTCCAAAGGTATTAGTGCGAAAGTGAACGCAACAGACTGGACAGGTATTTGAACTCGGTTCGCCGATGCTACTTTCCGTGCTGATAATTGTAACGCCACTCGTTAACGAACTTATTCTACTACCAGTGATCGGCGAGACTAACTTGCTAATCAACGATCTACTTTTGGGACTTAACACTAATTTCGTATTTTGTACGCATATCTGTATTAAAGTAATCTTTTTTGTGTGTGTTTCAATTCCATATGAATCTGTACATCCGCATGAACTGTGTGTGATTTCTGTATGAATATATACTATTAACGCGAGGAGTTTTATGCGCGCGTTTCAATGTGCACATATTCATTTGTCAGATCAAGAGAAAATCTTACATGTATCAATTTTATTCCTTGAACCATCAAATGAACAATTTCTCTCTCTCTCTCTCTCTCTCTCTCTCTCTCTCTCTCTCTCTCTCTCTGTGTGTGTGTGTGTGTGTGTGTGTTTTAACAGAAATAGAAAAAGAAAGTAAGCAATTATGACCTGAGATTTCTCTATGGTCATTTGTTTTTAACTGCTTATTCGAGGTTAGAACTGAAGTTTCATAGATTTTATGGTCCATCGACAATCATTTGATTACCAACCGGTCTCATAGAAACAGAGTTAAAAGACTCTAGCGAACATGACCTAAGAATTGGTGAGGCATTGGTTCCATTGTAAATTGATTCTCTTGGGGTTTTGGTCGCTGTTGGTCCCACGGTTTATTAATCACTTTGCTGTAGTCAGAGAAGGGCATTTTAGTCACTAAAGGCAATAACGCGCCTTGAGTTAGATTACTGCAATTCAATGGCGTCATATATCATTTGTTAATAACAACATTATTGATTTCAGTGTTACTTTGATTGACTGGAGGAAGAAGAAGGAATACTGAAGTGTTTCACGTGAGTGTTAATTTCTGTTTACAGCTGTTTGGGAGTATGCCGGTATATATCTATGCTACATGAGTATCGCAAACTTTACAAGTTTCAAATCAGCCGTAAAGCATTAGAAATCACAATTTTCTTTGCGATAATTTCGTCAGTTACGCATTGGATCTGGATTTTGATCTATAACTCTATCTTAAGTGTCCCCATAATTTAAAAACTGGAATGTCCGAATCCGTCTAGCACCCACTATCATTCGCTGTTTGAACTTTGATAATTCATATCGCCTTGTCATGATTAGCTTAACTGGTGTTCACATTACCTCACCAGACATGAGAGCACAAATGATACAGGTCTGTGCATTTTCATAACTTTTACATAGTGCTTTCCTAAGACTTTTGGCACGTCAGAGTTATTATATCTAATAATGGAATTTGTATTGATGTTTTTTTTTATTATTCAGCATAGACACAAGTATGTGAATGTACGGGCGCGCGCGAGCGAACGCACAATCGAGACGAGCGCATGGCCGCACACGTACAAGCGCGCATACGAACACAGAAGTGGAGCGACTATATCGAATCAATAGCTGCAGCTACTGCAAGGAAAGTTAGTCACTGTGTCGTGCCAAAAGGTTTTTATCGTCAGAGTCCATCTTGCACATTTACAAATTTTCCATTCGCCAGTGCATTGAATACTGTTGCCATATCTGGTCTGGTGCTCCTGTTATTCATCTCGAGGTTCTTGAAAAAATCCAAAGAAGCATCTGTAATGTAATCGATCCTGACTTGGTATCTCGTCTTCAGTCACTTTCTCACCGACGAGGCATATCTTCCCTCTGTCTTTTCTACAAATAGTTTCATGGCAACTGCTCTGACAAGCTTTTTTCCCTGGTGCCCGACTACGTGAATTTAAGCGCTACTAGATTACATATATATATATATATATATATATATATATATATATATATTTATATATATATATATATATAATCTATGCTAATCTAGAGAAAGAGGGATGTGATGTATAAATTGTCGTATAATTTACAAAAACGAAAATAACACTAACATCTCATTTTAATAGACATATTCACCAAAATTACGCAAAAATTTCTTGAAACACTAAAGAGTAAATTTATTCAATAAAATCCCCATTGGCTTCAACCATGGCTTTCAACTATTCTGGACAGTTTCCTTGTTTAAGTTGGTGAATGCTACCATAATCCTTGCCTTCAGTTCATCTTTGGTGTCACAAGGAGTTTTATTGGTCTCTCAATAAACTGCGCCCCACACATAATAATCACGGGAGTTGCAGTCTGAGGAGTTAGGTGGCCAGATGTAAGGGGTTATGTGGTCACAGAAATTGATGACAGCCATTACCGGATCCTCCTGCTTGTGTGGCATGGCGCAGAGTCCTGTTGCCAGACATAGGGTCTTCCCTATTGACCCAGGGCAGCACTACCTCCTCAAGGCACTTGATATAGGCTTTCCGTGCTGAATCTGAGGCTCTGTGTGAACATGAACGGAGGAATAACGTCGCCATCACTAGTGATCAGTCCAAACAACTTCATAACCACCTTTAGACTGAGCCAACTCTTTCCGAAGCAGTACAGCATGCCGTTTCCAAATTTCTAGCGGATTGAATTGCGTCATGGTGCTCTTTTTCTCACGGACTGTGCCCAACCGACCCTACTATACTGTGCAGTCGACAAAATCAAAAACAAACAACGCGTATATGTGTGTAAGTTGCAACCTTTTTCTCATTTACTATTTATCACATAATCCATTACACGGATCCTTGCAAAACTCTTATTCAATGAATTGTCCTTCTCCTAGACTGGTTGCCAACTACGCCTAGAGGGCAGTGTGATCTGCTATTTAAGTTATAGTTGGGAAGAGAAAAGATAGACTCATACCTTTCCAGGGTTATTTGCCCGTAAGTGAATATAATGAAATCAACTGGAATTCGAACTCTAATCTCCGATTTCTCATTCCGAGCCACCAGCCATTACCTTTACCTGGACCAAGAATATTTACATTTCTATTGGTACTTATAAACCAAAAATACTTACGTAGATTAATGATACAAGAATACATAAGTTTATTATTATTTATAGCTAGCTATAAAATTCATGCTAAGGTGAAATAATTCCTGGAGAATGTAATAAAAGAAAATTAGAAGAAAGGACTAAACATAAATTTTAAGAAGACAGAACGTCAACAAAAGGAACAGCCCAAAATGGGAACTACGAAAATTTCAATATCTAGGTTGTGTTTTAACAGAGGACAGGAAATGTGACACCGAAATCCGAAGTCGCATTTAATTTTAAGCTATTTAATGTATTAAGAAAAAGGAAAATTTCGTTGGTAATTTTTTATATAATATGTATTGCTGGTATTTTTCTATAAAAATGCTTTTATTCTTTCATAATGTTTTGTTTTTGTTTCGGGGTTCGCTATTTGTCTATAGCTAAGACCCTAAAAGCTGCTACCACCCTTGGTCAGGGTGAACCTGGGAACAACAGCAATTAAGAGGTCGTTCCAACGCTCCTCAAAACCTCGAATCTCACGATCAGAGGCTTTGCCGCCGGATGTAATTTATAGTTAAAACGAATATCAAATTAAGAACTCTAAAATTCGGTGCTTAATCCTTTTTAACTGTCGTCTTTGTTTGAACTGTCGTCTTTGTTTGAACTGTTGTTTTTGTTATCTGGAAATTATCATAATAGTGGAGTGGTTTTCAGATGCCTTCTCCATAGTTTTAAATTGAAAGCTGTTCTTTTCTTAGACTATCACTCCCCACAAAATCTACTCTTAAATTTAATATATATATAGATTTATGCCTTTCCTAAGGGAATTATGCGGAAGTAAACGCATAAAGGCAAGACCAAAATTTGAACTCGGATCATCGATATCTCTTGCCAATAACCGGTATGCTCTACGTATATCGTTTGGCCCATGTATACAGGGTTCAAACGAAGATGTATTGTAAAAGGTAGCTGTGGTTATTGCTCCATTTTTCTTTCCACCAGAAAATATTGTGTTACGGCATATCATGTAGTACTGGTATGTAGTTGAATGATTGTTTTATTTTTTACATCTTTTGGAGATTATTTAAAACCAGAAAATATTCTTTAGCTTGTAAAAAATGTTTTGGGGATAATAATGATTTACTCATTCAGGATTTACTAATTAACCTATACCTGGGGAGAGAATAGATGGATTTATACATTTCCCAAGAGTATTGGTACTAGTAATGAACCCAACTGGAATTTGAACTTCGCTCTCCGATTTCGAGCCGTTATCCATTACAATAACTGTACATTCAAGCTCACAGCACCTGGCATTTTCAAGTAGTCACCCAATCTAAATAGTAACCAGGATCGACGTTGCTTAACTTCGATGATCGTACAAGAACCGGTTTTTGAACGGACAATGTATGATTCAGTATTTTGACGTATTATTTTAATAAATTCTACGAACCGATTATATAAACTGTGGGCTTACAGCCAGATCACATTAAAACACTGGTTCCCGTACGATCATCAAAGTTAAGCAAAGTCAAGCCTGGTCAGTACCTAGATGGGTGACTGCTTAAGAATACCAGGTGTTGTAAGCATGGAAATGCCGGTGGTGTAATGGATAAGGGCTCGGAATTGTCAATCGGAGAGCCGAGTTCCAATTCAAGTTGGCTTCGTTATATTCACCTACGCGCAAAAATATCCTTTGGGAAAGGTATGAATCAATCTCTTCTCCTCCCAGCTATGGGTTAATTAGTAAGACTGGTATCACTAAAACCATTATTATCTCAAAAATAAAATAAAATTGCGTACAAAATATTTAGATATCGGCATTAAATAACCCACAGAAGTCTCGATATGCCGCTAAACCAAAACAACCAACATAACCTGTACAACAACAATGTGATATTCTTACCAACCAGAAAGTGATACATAGCGAATGTTAGAAAGCCGTTTGTACCGCTAAAGTAAACGGTGTCATTTTAAATGGCAGGCCTTTACGTTAATGTTACTGAGTATATTTAATCGTATCTTGCCTTTTCTTTAATGGTTATACACTAACATTGGTCAGGTTATAAGTGCAATGGATGGTGTACATATATGTGCATTTGCAAATAAGCAAATATATTTGATGAGCACATATTGGGAAGAAGCCTATACCACGTCGGGATTTTTCAAAATACAGCACGATCAACCTTTAGCACAGGGACGCTATATATGTTGGATATTAACCCTGTAAACTCACATATGGAGTACATGGCCAAATTGTGGTTTCTGTAGTAAATATCGTGTGTGAAGACAGAGATAAAAATGCTAGTGATGTGATAAATGAATATAGCAAATTAACAAAATAGATATGATTGGGGAGGAACGGTGATTTCAATAGGATCTGTGCAAGCGATTTGGAATTGGGCTTGTTGACGAAACCAAAAGAAAAATGGGATTTGGGGAGGGACTTTAAGATTAAGAAATGATCAGCGAATCCAGAAAGGATCTAGGGATTGTACATAAAGAAAACCAGGCATCTTAAATTGTGGATATATTTCCGTTCCAGCGGAGTGTACGACTTAAACAATTTTGTCAACAATTTCAAAAAACCAAACATAATGACAACGATAATGTTCCGCTTGGAACATACTTCTTCGGACCGTGTGAACTGGTGCTGCAGAATCCCAAACAATGAACTGTATCAAATAACAGAAACCACATCACTTGAGGAGTTTCAACAACGGCGACAACTAAAATGCATATCACGTGTAACTCGAAGAGAAAATAATGACATAATCAATATGATGATATTCCACACTACTTTAAACAAAAGGTTAGGAAGGAAACCCCCATCAAAACTGGAAAGAACGATAACAGATACTGGGCTTGAAAAACCTATTTTCCTTTAAAATTGTTTTAAGAGAAAGATTTTATAAATTTCGACGACAGTCTTGATTGCTAAATCAATGAAAGCCGAATGTTTCCTTATAAGGAAACGGTTAATATTACCATTACAATTCCTCACTGTCCATCCTCGACAGAGTTCAAAAGAGATTATGCGGCCTTCTGGGTGATGAATTATTCTCCTCTCTGCAACCCTTATCCCACAGACAAAACTTTAGAAGCCTCTCACTACTTTGTCGCTATTACTACGGCAACTGTTCGATCAAATTGCAAACACGAAATATTACATTTATAGTAATTTAGACTCAAGAGGAAATATGAAGTACTGTTGCCATATTTGGACTAGTGCTGCTCAATCCTCCCTGTCCAAGGTCGACAGAATTAAAATGCGATTACACTTTCTTAACCTTGCAGGCACATTTCCACCGATGAAACTTTGCCAAACACTCACTACTCTATCGCTATTACTATGGCAGATGTCTGGAGAAGTTACATTCCTTATTTCCAACAGGTCAGACTGTCACAGCCTCGGACCTGCAATGTCCTGTTCACGGTAGCAAACCATCCTCATTCCCTCCGTGTTCCTTTGATAAAATGCAAGTTCCACTTAGACAGGTTCTTCCCCAGAACTGTTATTTTCTAGAATAAACTCCCGAGAGAATGCTTCCCTAACAACTACTATCTTGGTCTTTTTTAATACAGGTACAATCGACATCTATCCTATTCGTCCTCATAATACTCTCTTTCTTTCCTCCTTTACACTCCTTTATAAAAATCTCACTCGTCAAGCCTCTACCTTGACTGACTCTTGGGCCTTGAATTAGGTTAACTAACAATAAAAACAAGAATTTTCCAAAAGTGGTTACCAACCAAAGCTAGAGATCCCAGTCTGGAGAAGAAGAAATGGACTCATAACTTTCGTAAAAATACCATTGTAAAGGCGTGAATCAGTTCCTTCTCACCCGGGCTAGGGATTACTAGATGAACAGGCGGTGCGCTCTAGCATTGGCTGCCAACCAGTATAGGGGAAGGACAAGTGTAAATTCAAACCCTAAAATATACTTGCTACGGAAACCACAGCGTCGTGAGGCCGTGGTCCTATATTCTACAACTTACCTGAAAAGACAGATTTCCCAACACAAAACTAATGATATTATGACGCGTAAAGATTGCTAAGCGCCAGTCTGTCAAGGGGGAGAGTGACTATATGTAGTTAAATGCAAAATTTCAAGCCTCATTGTAAAGTTACTAGCTGATCCTGGAAATTTATTTGCAACATTTTCAGTTTCCAACAAAAACTCACAGCGTTAGATAGATAGATAGATAGATAGATAGATAGATAGATAGATAGATTTTCTGCGAAAGTAAATGCAACGGTCTCGTCTGGAATTTAAACACAATGCACCACTCATACTTTAAGCACCGATAACTGCTATGCTACGCGCACATCCATGCATATATGGACTTCATTTTGATCATGATTCTTAAGGTTTGAAAACTGATTTTCTCCTTAAAAAGACGCACCCCTATGAACGTATAGACTTCCGTGTTATCCATAACAGCTGCTGCACATCGTTGTATATGTCGATATCGGACTGTAAACCAGATATGAGTTATTATTCTAATTTATAGTTATATTGTCCACAAAAATTGGTATCGATCTATACTGTAGGCATAAATTAATAATTTCTTGGCTAAAACCCCAAAGCCAATAAATTGAGCAGCTTATATAAGTATATACGTTAGAGTATAAACAGTAGACTATATATGCAAGTATATACATATATATATATATATATGTGTGTGTGTGTGTGTGTGTAACACTGCCTGGTTTCAAATGCAACAATACCAAGCGGTACTCATATAGATATAGATAAAGCAAACAGGCAGAGAGAGAATCTCTCAAGTCTGGGCATTGGGAGGTTATAAGTTAATGTAATGTAATTTTGTCTATGATTCCCACTTATCCTCAGAGATCCCAAGGCATTTTTCTTCACCCAGTTTTGTCATTCTTGCATTCTAACCTGAAGAAGGCAAAGAGAGCATAGGGCTCTCGGCGAAACGAGTCGTTAATAAATTTAATAAATGTAAACACAACAGAAGGTGTATGTAGCGTCGCGGTTATCGGAGCGAAAAGTGGTATTGGCATGTCAGGTTCAAATTCCAGTCGAGGCCGTTGTGCTCTCTTTTGTACAGATACTGTTGTAAAGGCGTGAATCAGTCTCTTCTCACCCGTGCTAGGAATTATTGGCTGGACAGGCGGTGCGCTCTAACATTGGCTGCCAACCACTCTAGGGGTATGGACAACTCTGAATTCAAACCCTAATATATGCTTGTTACGGAAACGGCAGAGTCGTGAGGCCGTGGTCCGATATTCTACAACTTACCTGAAAAGATAGATTTCCCAACAACAAAAAACTAATATTATGACGCGTAAAGATTGCTAAGCGCCAGTCTGTCAGGGGCAGAGTGATTATATGTAGTTAAATGCAAAATTTCAATCCTCATTGTAAAGTTACTATCTGATCCTGGAAATTTATTTGCGACATTTTCAGTTTCCAACAAAAACTCACAGCGATAGATAGATTTGAACAGACTGAGATAGATAGATAGATAGATAGATAGATAGATAGATAGATAGATAGATAGGCAGAAATAGATATTGACAGACTGAAACAGATCAATAGATACATATTAACAGACTAAAACAGATAGATAGATAGATAGATAGATAGATAGATAGATAGATAGATAGATAGATAGAACAAGAGTTGGAATAGAAATCAAGCCTTCAGAGGCGGAACATAAATCACTAATTTTAAACTAGTTTATATTTTTATTTATTAATTTTTTATTCTTTTATTGTTTTTAATTTTTCCGTTTACCAAGTTTCGTACCCCTCATGTAGATTTTGCTATTTTGAAATAAAGTTCTTTCTCTAATGACGCCGGATCATCAGCGAAACATTTCAATGAAAACTTCTTCAAAATTGTTTTATATATTTGTATATTTGTCATTCGTATTCACTTCCAACTTTACTCACACACACACACAAACACACATGCACACACACACACACACAGATAGATAGATAGATAGATAGATAGATAGATAGATAGATAGATAGATAGATAGATATAGGATTAATACAAATATTAAACTTGACACTTAGCTAATTGGTGTTATATTCAACACCCCGACTCCAGAATTACTCCAGTAATCGCTCTGTCCACTCATCAGGAGATATACACATGAAGCTTAGTTTCCTGCAGTACGAGATGATATTTGTAAGGATCATGTAGTAAATCTCGAACCCACTATCAATGATTTTTATAAACTTATTACACATTGCACAACGAGATTAAATTGATAGATACCAATCCGCTTTGATAACCAAATTCAAACACTATGTTGATTTTAAAGTATAAGATCATAAAGCTGGGATAATTGACACCACATCAGATTCCGTTGTCTTTTTTTCACGAAAACCGGAATCTGAAGTGGTGTCAATTATCCCATTTAAGTTTTTTTAAGTTTTTTAATCAATTCACACCAAGCAAGGTAATAATGCAAGGGATTGCTAGAGGTGAAAGACAATGAAAAGACTTTAATAGGAACCGGAAATCAGATCCTAAACAGGCAAAAAAAGGATAAAATTCTACTCCTGTTCAAAAGCCTGAGGAAGTGAAGGAACCGGGCGATAG